AAGTGCAACTAAATTGATTCTCCTGGATTTTCTTAAATGGCAGCCACAACAGCTACAGATGCCGATTTTAGCACCTACCCTGTCCAACTCATTGTGTGTCTGTGACAGAGTGCGGAATAGTCCAAATTTGATTTCTCCCTTTAAACCATTATCCCATCTTTTCAATAATCCTACTTTTCCCCCAGGTCTTGAATCAGAAGCCTTCCAGAAGTGGCTAAATAAGGGCCTTTACCGAAATGTTCTCACTCCTAGGGGCCCTTTTACCTTACAACAGTGTTTTTCTAGATTAAAAATGCCTCCTTCTGAGACATTTCCCTTTTTTTCATATTGCTAATTTTTTGCGCTTTCTAGGCTCTACGGCTACTAATAATCTAGCAGTTACCGCCTATGAATCTTCGGGCACAGGAGAACATAGAGGATATCTACAATCTACAGGCTGCTGCTTGCTTCCATTGAGCTTACCTAAATGAAGACCTGGGACTCAGATCTCGCCTCTGAGAAAGATACAGAGCATCAGCATTTTCCACCTAGCTTATAAAGGCATTCCTAATATCTCCCTTGTGGAAGCAAATATAAAAGGTAATGACTAGATGGTATACGGTACTTGCTTGGCTTTCGAGGCTATATCTGACTTCCTCACCTCTTTGCTTTAGGGGCTGTCAGTTGCTGGGTTTGATGTTTCACATTTGGTGGGAGTGTCCGAAACTGCGGGGCTTCTGGAATAGAGTATTTGCTCTGATCCATAAGGTCACTGGGATCCCGGTCCCACAGTCGCCCCATATTGCACTGTTTAATGAGCCAGTGGAAGACCTACCTTGACCAACGAGAAAGCCAATTTTTTTTATGTTCCTAGCATCTAAGCTCACGATAGCCCACTCTTCGAAAAAACCTTCAGTCTTTGTCATTGTAAGATCTCCTGGGAGGGCGGCACAGTGGCTTAGTGGTTAGCACTTCTGCCTTGCAGTAATTGGGTCATGGGTTCAATTCCCAACCATGGCACCTCCTACATGGAGTTTGCACGTTCTCCCTGTGTTCATGTGGGTTTCCTCCCATACTCCAAAGACATGCTGGTAGGTTAATTGGCTCCTGTCTAAATTGTCCTAGTTTCATCCCTCGGGATTTCCTGCATGGTAGGGGTTGGGGAAAGACCTGGCAACCTACCATGTAAAATAATTGTTAAGAGAATTCATGGAAAAAGTCACTTACGAGTGACGGTCAACTGGATTGATAGGTCTCCTGGATAATGTTGAAATAACTTTCGAGTGTGATAACTGATACTGTTAAATGATTTGAGGCAACATGGGAACCTTGGGCAAAATATGTTCATGTAGATCTAGAATGATTCCTTTTTGGAGTGTCAGCCAGGAGCCATACTCCTCCCCTTCCTCTGGCAATCCACCCCTTTCCTTTCATCTTCTCTCCTTTTCTTTTTTTCTGTTTTCTCTCTTTTCTGTTAGGGCCTATTTAGGCTTAATGTTAGCTCTCTGGGGCCGAGCACTACTATGTTTTGGAGCTGCGACCTGGACTTTCAAGTCTTGATCGTAGCCAGACCCTTTCAGGTAATACTCCTCACATTGGGGGTTCCTGCCATGGTAATGTACAGTTTCTTTGACCCTCCAGCCAATGCTTTTTGTTATTGTGATCTTCTTTGTGAATGTGAGCCAGGGCCTCGACCCTGCACTTATTGTTATTCTTTTATTGCTTTTTGTTCTTACGAAACGATCAATTTCTTACCTTTATATTTGTGAAACCAATAAAAAGATTGAAAGTAAAACAAAAACTGTGTCTGTCTTCATTTCAGGCTGGAAAGCAACAACGTGATTATTTTAAAGCTGGTGATACTTTTCTATATCTCCTGTACATGACTGAGGGGCCTATTCTAAAGTCACTTACGTATATTAGAACTGTTCGTAGTCTGCATTGGGGGGGATTGCAGGAGCACATTTGGGAGACAGTTATCACCCCAGAACAGGAAGTATTTGACCAAGGAAACAAGGACCTTTGTGGCATGATTCAAAAAAACGAAAACCATTTTTAAAAATGACATTAACATGTTAACGTTTATGTGAGATTTTAGTGATGTGGGTTTAGATCTACTTTAATAGACACTTACAAAACATTTTTACTGAAACAGCAAATATTTGACAATGTGTTCATTTGTATGCATACAGCACTCATTGGATCAGTTTCCAAATGTCTGCAAAAGCAAAGTGACTTTCCTTTCACCTGCTTCTCCACATTGTGGTCAAGAAACAAGAACACTATTAAAACACTGGCTGGTGGGGTGGGGGGGGATTTGACAGATGAACGTTGTCAAGCAGCAGTTTGATTCTGCAGCGTGCTGCTTGCACAGGCTATTTTAAACCTTGCTACAGCAAACGGGCAAGTTAAAACAAGAAACCCTCTATTATTATTGCTTATGGAGCCTGACTACACTACAAAAATAGTTGAAAAAGCTTCAACTGAGCTTTAACCACTTGCCCTCCTGAGGATTTACCCCCCTTCCTGACCAGGCAATTTTTTGAGTTACGGCGGTGCATTACTTTAACGGACAATTGCGCGGTCATGCAACACTGCACCCACATGAAATTTACATCCTTTTTTTTCCCCCACGAATAGAGCTATCGGTGGTATTTGATCGCCTGTGGTTTTTATTTTTTGCATTATAAAAAAAAAAAGGACTGACACTTTTGAGAAAAAAAAAAAGCCCAAGATTTTGGACTGTTTGCTATTAAACCTGTCCAGTAAAAAAATTTTAAAAATTAAATTTCATCATACATGTATGCCAATGTATTCTGTGACATGTCTTTGCTAGAAAAAAATCCCAATTTGTGTAAATAAATTGGTTTATGTGAAAGTTATAGCGTTTACAAATGGCAGTATAGATACTGGAATTCTTTTTTCTACTAGTAATGGCGGCGATCAGCGACTTATAGCGGGACTGCGGCGGACATTCTGACACTGGGGTGAACTGACTTGGTGTCACTGACACCAATACAGTGATTAGTGCTAAAAAAAAAAAAAAAAAAAAAAAAAAAAAAGCACTGACACTGTACTAATGGCACTGGGCAGGAAGGGGTTAACAATGAGGGGCGATCAAAGGGTTAAATGTGTGCAGGGACTGTTTTACAAGGGAGCAGTATGTTGGTGTTTCACTGTAAAGCACACTACTCTGGACGGCTGTGCTGTTCACAGACATCCAGAACAGTGTGCCAGAGCCAACAGGGAGGAGGACTGTTTGTAAACAAACCAGTCCTCCTCCCATCGGAGATGCTCGGTAATCACGGGCCGGGACCCGGTGATTGACAGCCGCAGCCGCGAATGGCAGCGCAGGTAGGGCAGGATATATACCTGATTTTGCGCACCTGCCGCCCTGTAGAAGTATATCTGCTATAGGGCGACAGGGATGTGGTTAAAATAAAAACTAATAAAATAATTAAACACTAATACAGATAGTGCAAGCAACTGGATTTGGCTTTATGTAATCCCTTGTACAGTACACCTGATCTTGAAAGAGGAAGGGCCAGCTAGGTAAGCCAACCAGCTGTGTGACCACGCTTTAGCTTTAAAGGATAAGTTCACCTTTTGGAAAAAAAATAAATAAATACACATTTTTGCAGGAAAAATGTGCACTTATTTTTTTTTTTTCTAAGAAGCCTGCAGAGCATTGCCCCCGTATTCAGCAGATCGAAGGTGCAATCTCGAGCACCTGCAGACTGTCAGGATAGCGGTCTGCCCGTACCATTTAAGGGCAGGTAGTTGCCTGGGAGCAGGAAGATCAATGGACTACAAGAGCACTCACCAGCACCCTAGCAATGCATTGTGAACTACAAGCCGTCAGCCGCAACGGGTGACAGTACTTCTAGGCAATTATTCACGGAAACTGTGAATAAAGGTTGCGGCCAAGTGGGCGGAGCCCTGCATAGCTGCACTGGTTTCAAATTGTGACAGCGGGTGTGGGGAGAAGATCCCACAGTCACAGGAAGTGGGGAGAGGCTGCAGATGCTAGAACATGGTTTATGGTGCAAAGTGTAATATGTTCCAAAGGTGAACGTATGCTTTAATTGAATTGACTTTTCATCAGGAAAAATAGGTTGACATCTCTATTACAAGTTTGCACCGTCCATCATGTGAAATGTTCAGGACAACAAAAAAATTCCATTGGTTTATCCCTTTTAAAAAAAATTGCCTACTATTCACTATCCTACTCTACATGCACAAAATTGATTTTTTTAACCAGAAAAATGAATGCAACGGTCTTGCCTACCAGAGTCCTGCCCATACACTGTGCATAGGTGGATGCAGTTTTGGGGAGCACGACATCTATTGGAAGTAACCGGTCAGCTGCTGCAAGACTTTTGCAAGCCTACTAATAACATCACAGGAAACAATAAAAGCTGTTTAGCACATCAGGAACAAGGTTAAAGGAAAACAAAAATTGCTGTGACATGTTCTTGGCGGAGGTTTGAGGGTGCATTTGGGTAATGCCTGGATATAACTTTTAGTACTTCAGCACACCCCCTGCAACACGCAATGCAAAGATCATACCTCTGTGGTATGAGGGTGCACTGAGTGATACAGGGGTTATGCAAAAGGGTTCTGCTTTGGAATTAGTATATGGCACAGCTCAGGGGTGCAGGTTTTGAAGGTATGGATACTTTGTCAGTTTCACTCTAAATGTAAAGACCGGCCTCTTTTAGTTTTCAGAAATTAAAACTTGCAAAGCTGCTTAGAAGACACAGTGTACATTAGGATGCGCACAGTGACTGAAGTGCTGGCATGTACCGACAGCTTGCTGAATGCCTCCAAGGCGGATCTTTTATAAAATCATATATTCTGACATCTCTCTCTGGTTGTCACAATGAGCGTACACTTTCAGGCTGTGCATTCACCAGTCAGGTCCAGATGTTTGTTCTCAGTAGAAGGCCTGGCCCTGTCTTCTTGCCCCTTTGTCATCAGGCTACTTGATGCCGTTCCAGCACCAAGTCGACAGCGCAAGTTTATTGTGAAAGTGCCTGCACATACCAGTCTGGTAGAACAGGATCAGATGGATTCGATTCAATAGTGAATGTAATGTCTGAACCTGGCTCCCAAGAGAACACATAGACAACCCTGTGGAAAACATGGATCTAATTAGAAACCAGGAAAGAGAGACTGCTAAAAACATATCAGTTGCAGTGGCTCTTACCTTGGGTCATCCCTGGTGGCCACTTTCTTAATATGAGACAAGAAGGCATTGCAGAAGTTCATGCACACCGCAGGGTCCCAGCTCTGATTGTCACCCTGGCAAAAGACAAATCTATCATTTACACACAGAAAATCATATCAAGGGCATGTAAAGGGAACCAAGTTCTATCTTCCAATTACCCGCACTAGATGAGGGATGTCTGCCGTTCGATAATTCTGTAAGGATACAATTCTTCCCTGCGGATTTCGGAAACCAGCAACGATTAGGGGAATCCCAAGAAGAAAGGACTGACACCACCATTTCAGGAGCTTGTATCTAGTGGGTGGAAATTAGCACCTTTATCCATTGGATGACAACTTTAATCTGAACTCAAGGCAGATTTAAAAAAAGACACCAATGCAGATGTGTAACCATAAATATGTTATTTACAGTGGAACTTTAGTCAGAAAATGAAGTCTTGCTACATCACTTCAGGCTGGCCCCTTTTGCAGGTATAGCTTTGTAAAACATTAAAAATAAGTGCCTATACTGTTTAAAATCCAGGAATTCACTGTCTCGCCCTGCTCTGCACATGCTCAGTTGATCTCTATTTTTAGGCACTGCCATATTTGTAGAGGGTGATCTGCTAAGAGCCTAACGTTTACTGCTGTTTAGGGTCTCTGGTCTTCAGCAAAATGGCCGCCTCCAGCAAGAAGAAACAGGAGTAATGCTGGAGGCAATTTATAGCACACACTCATTTTGGTACCATAACTAATTATGTGGAATAAATGTTCCTTCCTAAAGAACATTATTTTTTATCAAGTTGTTATGGGTAAAGTTCTACTTTAACCACTTCCCATCTGGATCAATTTTTTATTTTTTTTTGCACAAATGTTAAAATGTGAATTGTTTGGCTAGTACACTACTTATAAGATTACGTTTTTTCTGAAGGTAGAAGCACTGTAGAATAAAAAGATGGCAGTTGCAATTTTTTATCTTGCATGATAGGGCAGCACAATGGCTAAATGGTTAGCACTTCTGCCTGGCAGTACTAGGGTCGTTGGTTCAAATCCCAGCCACGGCACCACCTGCCTGGAGTTTGCATGTTCTCTCTGTGCCTGCGTGGGTTTCCTCCGCTTTCCTCCTACACTCCAAAGACATGCTAGTAGGTTAATTGGATCCGGTCTAAAAATTGTCCCTAGTATGTGTACGTATGATTGTGAGAGTAAGGCTACGTTCACACTAGCCTTGTGTGCAGGCGGCAGAGAGGCGTTTGGGAAGCGGTTTTACCGCTTCCCAAACGCCTCTGCCAATTCTGCACATTACAGCACATGGTGCTGTTCTAACGGGAGCGTTTGCGTCGCGGCAAAACGGACGCCTCTGGACGAGTCAGGAGGCTTTGAAGCCTCCTATTCTCGTCTATGGTGCCGCTCCGCAAACGCCCGGCCCGGCGTTTGCGGTGCGGTTGCGGGGCGTTTGCGGAGCGGTAACACCACTCAAACTGCATTATAGGCGTTTGTGGGGCGTTATTAACGCTCGGCAAACGCCTAGCAACCGCCGCTAAACCGCGCATGCGGCGTTTGCGGAGCGTTTGCCGAGCGTTAAAAAACGCTCCGCAAACGCCGGACCAACGCTTGCCAAACGCTATAGGGGCGTTTGGCAAGCGTTGGCAAAACAGCCTAGTGTGAACGAGCCCTTAGGGACCGATGTGATTGTACAATATATATGTACAAGCACTGCGCAAATTGATGGCGCTATATAAGCACCTGAAATAAAATAATAATGAAGTACATAAATAAATATTTGAAGAACTCTTTATCAAATCTGTATTTTAGGAACAAAAATACACTAAAAATTACTTTTATTTAGTTTTCATTTTATACAAAAGAAGGATGAGGTTATTCCTAGTAATAGATTGCAAATATGTCAAGCATTAAAAACTATGTGCGCTTGTGTAATGGCAAAAAATGATGGTACCCAAATCATCAAATCGGCAACACTTTAAATGTTTACAGCCCAAGTATAGACATCTTTTCTTTTACATGGTATATATGGTAGAATCGGCTTAGATTGGGAGTGAGAGTAGATTTAGGCTTAGTTAGGGTTTGAGTGGAATGCCATTTTAATGTATTTTTTAAATGCAAGGCCACCAGTTCAGACAGACACTTGTCTCACAGAGATTAAAGTGTTAATAAAAAACCCAGGACCCTGCATTCACTATATCTGGTCTCCCACAGTACCACAACATGGAAATGCAATTATTTTAGTAAATATAAACTGCTAAATACCTTTTCTCATCAACAGTATATAGCAGTCTTGTGACTTCTATCAGTGTCTGGCAAAGCACTGGTTAAAACTTGTAGGAGGCATTTTCATTCTGCTCGGACTGTCCTATGAGGCTGCATGACTCCTGACCCTCCCTCTGCACTGTGCTGACTGGACCTCTACAGATCACATGCACCCTCCCAAAATAAAAAAAAAAAAAATCTCTAGCAATGCGCACCAAACTGAGTATATGCAGAGTGCCTCCTAGGTCTCTGTACTATTAGCAGATGGATTGGGGACTGTGGAAGAAAGTAGCCTTTTCACACAGTGCGGATGAACCCCTTATGAGTATAACAAGCATGCTTTACTGCATATACAGACTGATTTTACCGTTGTGGGTTTAGTAACACTTCAAGGTTACTAGGAAAACCTCTTTGTGGTTGAGCATACAGAGAGAAATATCTCTAAATGGGTTCAAAAGGCAGTTTCTGAGGTGCAGAGAAAAAAAGATTCAAATCCCACAGAATCGCTGGGAAAAGAACGAAGGATATCACATGGACAGCACAGTGGCTAAATGGTTAGCACTTCTGCCTGGCAGTACTAAGGTCGTTGGTTCGAATCCCAGCCATGGCACCTCCTGCCTGGAGTTTGCATGTTCTCCCTGTGCCTGCGTGGGTTTCCTCCCACACTCCAAAGACATGCTGGTAGGTTAATTGGCTCCTGTCTAAATTGGCCCTAGTATGTGTATGTATGAATGTGAGTTAGGGATCGTAGATTGCACTCCCCTTGAGGGTTAGGGACTGATGTGAATGTACAATATATATGTAAAACGCTGCGTAAATTGATGGCGCTGTATAAGTATCTGTAATAAATAAATAATGAGAGACTCCCTGTACAAAGGACTTAATCAAAGCGCAGATGTCCATCTGTCTCTGAAGCAGAAGGCAGAAACTTGACCCCTATGGGAGGGGTATCCTGGGTTGGTCTACAGTTTTTTTTTGTTTGCCAGCGTCCAATCGTGTACCTAGTTTTTTTTTGCCAGTGTCCAAACGTATCAGTGGCAGCATAACACAAATGTTTGAGATTTCTTGTGTCACTCAATGGATTCCAATAAATTGATTTTATGAGTATAAAAATATTTCCCTTGTATTCTCTCCCTGTCTGAGCAAAACGGTCTGCCTGAGTATCAGGCTGTAAAGCCCCCATTGAAGCGGTCCTTACTACAGCCTGAAATCAGTGCTGAAAACAGACGCTCATACAACAGTCACAACAAAGAACAGTATTGATAACCAAGAGCTTTTTGTTTTTTTATCCTCTCACAACAGCCTGGGCACCAGATCGGTTAACAGCCTGATCTCATGCAGAAAAACAGGTGAGTCTCCATGGGTGGCTGGCTGGATGACTGGTAATGAGAAAAAATGTATGCTCTGACTGGGAAATAATAGGGTTCTTTAACACAGGCGATCTGATAAGGTCCGCCTCTCTTTTAAAAGAGGACTGTGTCCTCTTCCATTTGAGTGGACTGAATTGGAGGCAGCCGGGTGTAAATGGACAATGGACTTTTGGCCACCCATAGAGCACAGCGGAGACAATCCATGTCCGCTCTACTGAAACTGAGTGGACACAGATCTGCCATCCATCCCGCTCGGCTCAGATCAGCAGCCAGCTCCCCTGCTGATCAGAACAAAAGGTGCCTGTGTGAAAGGGCCCATACAGCTAAATATGAGCATATACCTGAGTGATAAAGCTGGAGTGATACAACTTAGAGTAAAAATTCAGATTCCCAAAAAAATGCCCTTTCCTGGCTGGATCATTAACTTACAATTAAACCCTAAAATGAATACTTTCTGCAGATTTACAACAGCTTCTCACTTACCTGTTAAAGCTGCGCTGTTGGTGTGGGTTCCTTATTTGTGCGCTTGTCTTCAGCTCCACATAACAAGAAGGAGGTGATGGGTTGGCAGCAGAAGCATCAGTGCAGTCTACCTCTCCTGACAGCAGCAGAGAATGGGAGGCCAGACGACCCAAAAGAACACTGCAGAATGCCTCGTTGGTGTTCACAACCTCAGAAGGGCAGGGATCGCTGTTGGGTGTGTCTGGAGATGGAGGGCAACGCATGTTAGTACAGTTTATGGCAAAAACTGGGGAGACAACACAGTAGAGAAAACAATTTGGATTTTTTAAAAATTAAATTTGGCTCCAAATTAGGATGTCCAGTCAGCTTCTTGAAGTGAACCTGTGGTCAAAGCATTGAAATTCCAGTATTTACATATACCGAACAAGCAGGATATTAGATTAAAAAATCCCTCTCTGGCCCCTGCAGCTATAGGAACTATGGTAAAATTAATCTTCAAATTTCACAGAAGTAGCACTGAGGACATTCATGTTCTATCAGCAGCAAAGCTCCTACTCAGAAACTTAGCTTGCCCTGCAGTGTCTCAGACCTCCACCCTCCACTAGCATCTCAAATTCCACTACTCCTCCCTCCCAGAAGTAATTCAGCATCTCAGTTTCCCCTGTTATCCTCTACCTGAGCAGCTTCTCAGTATGCGCATTAGAGATTGGAAGGCTGCTGAGTGACTGATGGGTTTAAGGCACATTGTAATTAGAATTCAAAATCCTTGCTCACTGCAAATATAAACCTTAGAACTCTCATGTGTGTCACAGAAAATGTGTTGTGGCTCTGCATAACATTGGTGCCTGCGACAGATTCATGTATCTGTTGGAAACATGATGGGTAGGAGGCACCTCTTCCTCAGAGTATGTTTAGCCCCTGGGCCACACAGCATCGCTGATTACTAGGATGCTGAAAGTTGTGTAGCTGACAGCATCCTAGAAACACAGCAACACTGTGTAGCCGACAGCATCTTAGCAACTGGGGGGGGGGGGGGGGGGGGGGGACATGTATACATCATGCAGTCTGACTATCTGTATATAACATAGAGTTGTTATTATTATTATTATACAGGAGTTATATAGCGCCAACAGTTTGCTCAGCACTTTACAATATAAAGGGAGACAATACAGCAACAATAAATTTCCAAACAAGAGGGTTGGAAGGGCCTAATCCTGGGAGCTTACAATCTAGGAGGGAGGGGCAATTGATATAAATTACCTAATTTCCTTATTTATGAACTAGTGGAAATTCTTTTTGAATCTGTCGCAGCCCTAGCGACTCAATGTGAAAGCGGCTCAAAAAAAGAACTACTTGAATGTGTTGTACATGTTGGGCCTCTTAACGTGACTGTCATAAGGCTTTCATGAATTAAAGGCAAGTCTTTTTAAAAATGACCATACTGCCAGAAAAGTTTTGCAAATGCTTTACTGATTCGCCCCCAATCCACGGACACAAATGAAGAATATTTATGCTAACTTACAAAATATACATTTAAAGAAAGTAAGACTATATATTCCTTTGACAAGTCATTAGAACAAGACCCACAGGAAACAAACTCAATGCACAAGCAAAAGTTGCAATTCAGATTTGCACTTTAGGCCCCATGCATTTTTTTTTTTTTACTCCCTCCAAATGCCCCTGCACGTTAGTCTGTGTCCATGCCAACATAGGCCTTTAGAGGTAGAAAAAAAAAAAAACATTCACTGCCAGTGCATCCAGGAACAACAGCGTTTTGGCAGAAAGATGCCTGTGAACACGTGTTTACACTAGTCATGTTTACCATTTGAGTGTTAATTCATTTCTGTGGCCAGAATAAATTATTATTCTAGTCAATGAAATAAATTAACGCCCAAGCACCTGGCACACCTAAATGCGCGATACGCATTAACAAGCGTCAAGCCTTTTTCTGCCAAAATGCTGCTGCCAGGGGGACAGGCAAAATGTCCAGTGTGCACGAGGCATTGAAACAAAAGCCAATGCAAAGGATTTCTAAAAGGATGGATTAGTTTGCAGAAACCCTGTAAGAGCTTGAAATATAGGAGAATTGAGAATATAAAACAGCCTCACTTACAAGCACATAAGAAGCTCTCAAACTTGTAACCAGAGTACATGAGCTTCTCCTGATCCACGGTTCTCCCCTTCCTCTTTTTATGCGCAGCTTCCGTCTCCCTCTCGCTGATGTACAGAGTACCTCGGAAGAGTGTGACAGCCAGGAGCCAGCCTTCTTGTGTCTCATACGGTGTACAGAGCATCTTAGTGAGATGGCCCCGCCAGGTGACAAAGTCTCGATCCACAGGTCTGAAGAAAAGGAAAATTAATCTTTTGATAAACACTAGCAGATGATGTATGTGTCCACCAGTGGTTCTCAATGCACACCTATGTTTGCTGCATTTCCCTTGTTACACTTCATTAGCACCCATGGGAGTATGTTCTGAACTTCAGGGCCCCCTTATCACTTTAAACATAAGAATCCTAAACCACACTGCCTGAATTATCTCAGCGCCAAGCAGTGCTCTTTGGGTTGTGACTTTGACCCTTCCAAAAAAAAAAAAAATGCACAAGCACATTACGCATCCATAGAAATCAAGGACCTACTCAAATATGTGTACAGTTGTACTTCCCAAATGATGTGCAGGAGTGCCATTTGGAGTACAGTGTTGAAGTACTAAAGTTAATAAAGCTGAAGCCTGAGCAAGAAAAGCACAGCCCATGCATGGGCAAAGCTGAGCAGGGTTAGGTTAGTATGCTAAAAGTTAGGAGAGGGTCTGGGGTAGGGAGGCACTTCCCATATAAGTGTTCATACCCAAAGTAAAGAGAGTGCATTATAAAAAAATAAAAAAAAAAAACATTGGCAGAAGTTACTTTCAGTCAAACCTCAGGTCCGAGTGGTATAGGCAGGTGAAGGTATATAGAAATGCCAGCTTTAATTTGAAGTTGAGCACGGTCCTATCCTCCAACCTCTGGACTGGACCATAAAAGTGACTGGTAATCTTGAGGACAAAAAAATGGGAGATTCAGCTGCCTGAATCTGCTAATGATCCTAAACAGTAGTTTTCATGGAAGGTGTTCTTTAATCAGGGTGGATAAAAATCAATGATTTTTTTAAAAAAAAAAAAAAAAAAAAAAAAAAAAAAAAAACGATTTTTTTTTTATTTAAATTGGATTGTTTTTAAATAAAATGCTTTTTGAGGAAAATATATTACCATCCAAAGGTTATTCCATTATGAAATAAAGATAAGTTTTTTTTAATTATGTAGAATAAGGCTGTATATGTTTAATTGTTTTGGTAAATAAATTCCATGATCCATTCACAATGTCATGCTCAATGTAATTAGTTAACAAACATGGATGTTTGTTTAGGCAAATCACATATGCTGGAATGTTATTGTTTCAGATGAATAAATCTATTTAAATTGTTATTATTAAGGTAATGATTATTTTTCTCCTTCCTAAGTACAACAGAAAAGTTGTCCAAATATGAATGATTAACCTATTAAACTGGGGGTAAAAAAAACTAATATGAAAAGTTGTTATTCTAAAAAATCTTCATCTACTTGTATATTAAAGTTATACCAGCAAGAATTAGTCTTTATGTAGAAAACTAGGATTTAAATCAAGCCTTACTGACTAGTGATTTAAATCATGATTTAAATCAGTTTGATTTAAAACAAATCCACCCCGAGATATATATATATATATATATATATATATATATATATATATATATATATATATATATATATATATATAGTCAGGTCCATAAATATTGGGACATTGACACAATTCTAACATTTTTGGCTCTACACACACCACCACAATGGATTTGAAATGAAACGAACAAGATGTGCTTTAACTGCAGACTGTCACCTTTAATTTGAGGGTATTTACATCCAAATCAGGTGACCGGTGTAGGAATTACAACAGTTTGCATATGTGCCTCCCACTTGTTAAGGGACCAAAAGTAATGGGACAATTGGCTTCTCAGCTGTTCCATGGCCAGGTGTGTGTTATTCCCTCATTATCCCAATTACAATGACCTGATAAAAGGTCCAGAGTTCATTTCAAGTGTGCTATTTGCATTTGGAATCTGTTGCTGTCAACTCTCAAGATGAGATCCAAAGAGCTGTCACTATCAGTGAAGCAAGCCATCATTAGGCTGAAAAAACAAACCAAACCCATCAGAGAGATAGCAAAAACATTAGGCGTGGCCAAAACAACTGTTTGGAACATTCTTAAAAAGAAGGAACGCACCGGTGAGCTCAGCAACACCAAAAGACCCGGAAGACCACGGAAAACAACTGTGGTGGATGACCGAAGAATTCTTTCCCTGGTGAAGAAAACACCCTTCACAACAGTTGGCCAGATCAAGAACACTCTGCAGGAGGTAGGTGTATGTGTGTCAAAGTCAACAATCAAGAGAAGACTTCACCAGAGTGAATACAGAGGGTTCACCACAAGATGTAAACCATTGGTGAGCCTCAAAAACAGGAAGGCCAGATTAGAGTTTGCCAAACGACATCTAAAAAAGCCTTCACAGTTCTGGAACAACATCCTATGGACAGATGAGACCAAGATCAACTTGTACCAGAGTGATGGGAAAAGAAGAGTATGGAGAAGGAAAGGAACTGCTCATGATCCTAAGCATACCACCTCATCAGTGAAGCATGGTGGTGGTAGTGTCATGGCGTGGGCATGTATGGCTGCCAATGGAACTGGTTCTCTTGTATTTATTGATGATGACTGCTGACAAAAGCAGCAGGATGAATTCTGAAGTGTTTCGGGCAATATTATCTGCTCATATTCAGCCAAATGCTTCACAACTCATTGGACGCTTTCACAGTGCAGATGGACAATGACCCAAAGCATACTGCAAAAGCAACCAAAGAGTTTTTTAAGGGAAAGAAGTGGAATGTTATGCAATGGCCAAGTCAATCACCTGACCTGAATCCGATTGAGCATGCATTTCACTTGCTGAAGACAAAACTGAAGGGAAAATGCCCCAAGAACAAGCAGGAACTGAAGACAGTTGCAGTAGAGGCCTGGCAGAGCATCACCAGGGATGAAACCCAGCATTTGGTGATGTCTATGCGTTCCAGACTTCAGGCTGTAATTGACTGCAAAGAATTTGCAACCAAGTATTAAAAAGTGAAAGTTTGATTTATGATTATTATTTTGTCCCATTACTTTTGGTCCCTTAACAAGTGGGAGGCACATATGCAAACTGTTGTAACTCCTACACCGTTCACCTGATTTGGATGTAAACACCCTCAAATTAAAGCCGACAGTCTGTTGTTAAAGCACATCTTGTTTGTTTTATTTCAAATCCATTGTGGTGGTGTATAGAGCTAAAAATGTTAGAATTGTGTCGATGTCCCAATATTTATGGACCTGACTATATATATATATATATATATATATATATATATATATATATATATATATATATATATATATATTTAGACCACTGGCAGTTGACCTGACCTGCGTAACATTATCTTGTTACAATGGGTGGGATATATTAGGCAGCAAGTGCACAAGTTGTTCCTGACATTTGTGTGTTGAAAAAGTGGGCAAGTATTTGTGCCACTCTGCAAAGTTGTAATGGCTGGATGACTGGATAAGAGCAACTCCAAAACTGCAGCTCTTGTGGAATGTTCCCAGTCTTCAGTGGGCGGGACCTATCAAAACGGACAAGGAAGGAAAACCACTGACAAGGTCATGGGCAGCCAAGGCTTATTGATGCACGTGGGGAGAGAAGACTGGCCCGTGTAGTCTGATCCAATAGAAGACTTACTGTAGCTCAAATTGCTGAAAAAGTTAATGCTGATTCCGATAGAAAGGTGTCAGAACACACAGAGCATCACAGTTTGTTATGTATGGGGCTGCATAGCCGTAGACTTGTCAGGGTGCCCATGCTGACCCGTGCCCACAGTCAAAAGTGCCTACAATTGGTATGTGAGCATCAGAACTGGACCACGGAGAAATGGAAGCAGGTGGCCTGGTCTGATGGGGCTTGTACATAAATAAAGAAGCAGCGGGAGAGAAATGTAAACAATGCTGGGGGCCTAGCGAGGGGGCAGGAGGTGGTGTTCTACATGTTTAGGGGGTGGAGGCAAAAGAGAAAAGACTTTGGGGGTTTACTAAAACTGTATGAGGCAAAATCTGGTGCAGAGAAACCAATCAGCTTCCAGATTTTATTGTTACTGCTTAACTGAACAAGCAGAAGTTAGAAGCCGATTGGCTACCATGCACAGCTGCACCAGATTCTGAGTGCTCCAGTTTTAGTAATTGTCACCATTTGTATATAGATTTCCTTGCCCTTCATGATGGCTATGACTATGCAAATTATATTTTTTACACCTTGATGATAACTGGCTTGAGACATTACTGTCTTTCAAGGCCAAGAAACTGCTTAGATATTGAATGACCATATAGCCATAAAAGCACATGTATGTGATGTGAACTACTGCCACCTGCAAGATGAAATGCAGCCATGTGATAGGACCAGACATTGCCAAGTAAACGCAATCTTGGGCATTTCATGTGTTTATAGAGTTTTGGTCTCACCTCTTGCTCTCGCCATGGCCACTTCCTTTAATAATTCCTTTGTTCTCCTTTATCCACGTGAGTATGTGGAGGAGACCCTCCTTCTCATCTTCATTCATCCGAACGTAGTGATCTTCAAATCCTTCCATCAGCTCCCACCCAAGAGAGTCACCATCCTTTTTCCCTTCCTCAGGAGGACGGTAATAGCGTAAGCGTCGACCGTCGGCATGGTAACAACGCTTTTCATCTAGCGAGAAGAATCCCACCTCAGAGGGCAGCCTGTAGAAGGGGAAGGAACTCTGGTATAGGGATGGCTGGGTTTTCAGGGGTGAAGGTGAACTGGAAGGGTACTTGCACGGAGCGACATCAGATGAAGCCTCATCACAGCTTCTCTTCAGAATTCTCACTAAAATAAAAGAACATGAGAGTTTCAAACGCAAAAGCTCAACATTTGATGCCACTGCACAAAACATTTTTTGTATACTTTTTGATTAACCTTTCCTTCTTTATTATATGAATTTCTAATCAATATATGGTTGATCCAGTCATTTTCTTGGCCTGAGTGGCAACACTCTTACAGCTGATCTTCTGTCTCCTGCGTTGCCACTCCCAGTGCATATGCTCAGGTTATTCCCTTTGCATCACATATAGACAAAAAGGTATTAAAGGATTTAGAGAAACTTTAAAGGATGACTGTACTAAAAGTACAGTTTTCCTTTAACTCAATGGTGATTGATTTTCTTGATAGATATGGAGGGCCTCACATTGTGGACATGAAGCAGGAAATGGTCAGAGACTGGGGACATGAAACGGAGATGGTCAGAGACTGGGGACATGAAACAGGAGATGATGGTCAGAGACTGGGGACATGAAACAGGAGATGGTCAGAGACTGGGGACATGAAACAGGAGATGGTCAGAGACTGGGGACATGAAACAGGAGATGGTCAGAGACTGGGGACAGGAAACAGGAGATGGTCAGAGACTGGGGACAGGAAACAGGAGATGGTCAGAGACTGGGGACAGGAAACAGGAGATGGTCAGAGACTGGGGACAGGAAACAGGAGATGGTCAGAGACTGGGGACAGGAAGCAGGAGATGGTCAGAGACTGGGGACAGGGGGAAACAGGAGATGGTCAGAGACTGGGGACAGGAAGCAGGAGATGGTCAGAGACTGGGGACAGGAAACAGGAGATGGTCAGAGACTGGGGACATGAAACAGGAGATGGTCAGAGACTGGGGACATGAAACAGGAGATGGTCAGAGACTGGGGACAGGAAACAGGAGATGGTCAGAGACTGGGGACAGGAAACAGGAGATGGTCAGAGACTGGGGACAGGAAACAGGAGATGGTCAGAGACTGGGGACAGGAAACAGGAGATGGTCAGAGACTGGGGACAGGAAACAGGAGATGGTCAGAGACTGGGGACAGGAAACAGGAGATGGTCAGAGACTGGGGACAGGAAACAGGAGATGGTCAGAGACTGGGGACAGGAAACAAGAGATGGTCAGAGACTGGGGACAGGAAACAAGAGATGGACAGAGAATGCAGGCAAGACTGGGGACATGGTACAAGAGATGGTCAGAGAATGCAGACAAGGTACAAGAGAGACTGGTCAGAGACTGCGGACATGCTGCAGGAAACAATGGTAAACTGGAGACAGACTATTAAACAAGATGAGAGACTGCTAGAAATCATTGCTATAAAAAGGCAATAAGGAAACACAAAGAAGTGGCTGCAGGGGCCCTGGGAACTGCACAATAAAGTGCCCAAGGGCTGCATGTAGCCCCCCCCCCCCCACTAGGAACCAGGGCTTGAACATTTTTGTTGGCAGACATCCATTTATCATGCAATTAAAAAAATACACATTTTTGGCCAGCAAAATTGCTTCTAACCTTCAAAACTATATTCTTTTCCCTGAAAGCAAGGCTGTAAAATAAAAAGATGGTAGTTGCAACTTTGATGACACCAGACATTTGCGTGAATCAAACCTATACTTTTATTTTAAAATTTACATTGAACTCAGTGCATCTCCAGGAAATGCTTTGGATAGAGTAGGGAAAAGTTAGACCCCCTCCATCAAGTTTTTATTGCTGTGTCCCACGTGGAGAGATTCACTCTCTCTCTTTGTACTGGTGACTACCTTCATCTAGAAAGAAAGAGGAAATCCAAGATTTTAGACTTGACCTCAAAGCACGAGCTAAGAGAAAATCTTCTCTGTCCTGTCTGAGGCTAGGCTCACTCCTGTGCACATGATTGCTACTGCAGGACTGCACCTGATCCTGTAGACGCAACCACCCATGCAGAAAAACACGCTGCCGATCAGGAGATGCGTGGGGCTGCCGTCAATCCTAAACCGCAGCGCGGCATCCCGCACTGGGAACTGCACTGCCCTTGTGGACAGCAATTTCAAAGCTGATGCAGGAACCTTTTCCCTGTGGTTTCAGGAAGGAAAGCAGACCATTTAAATGAATAGGCAGCCATGCCCACACAAACCGCAGCGTGCAGAGCCCCACAACTTATTAACATATTCTTGTGGGGGGGATTCCCCGAAATTTGGGAAATTTTCTTATAACTTCCTGTTGCATGTCTGGGACAGGAAGCGAAGAAATATTTCCCCAATGGTACACAGACAGCAAAGCAATAGCCTGTCAGGGGCTACAACCATTATCCACTCTATCCAAAAACACCAAATACACTGCATACTTATCCGCCACAGTGAACGTGCTGAAAACAAAGCACAGCCAGGCAAACTGTATTTATCAGAAGGAAATCAGCAACAGCAGCCAGCACACATACACCTATTACAGTGACAGGTTCTCTTTGTCCTCTATAATGGCTGGACCGGGCAGTAAGTCATACTGGATCCTGTAGCTGCCCAGTCACTGGCCTCATCTCCTACCCCCCATCAGTTCTATGATCCGTGCCAGAGCCCACCTCCTCCATTGTCCTCCATCCTTCTTCTGTTTATGTTTCACTTCACTTTCACTATCATGACGTCCAATAAGAGGCGCCGGAAGTTCCTCCCAACACTAGAGGTCCACTTCCTGCTCTCCGCCGCACACTCCATTTTGCCGTCTACTATGCCATAGTTTTCTATTATGTCGTTGTCTCCAGAGACATGGCCGGACATACTGGGGAAGAGGAGGATTTAGGAGACATCTCCCACTGCAGAGTCGGGGAGTCGGTGGAGGAGGTAGTGTTGGCTGGGGCTCTGGAGTTTGGTTGTCTGTTTTTTTTTTTAATTTCTGCTTCCATCTATTGTCAATTGTTTGTTACAGGGAGACTTCCTTCCTCTCTCTATATATATATATTTTATATATACACACACTTGTATGTGATGGCATTATGGAGTATATATAGTCATCAGAGTGTAATGTCATAAAATTATATATATACACACACACTTGTATGTAATGGCATTAGGGAGTATATATATAGTCATCAGAGTGTCTGTAATGTCATAAAAAGAAAAAAATTATATATATATATATATATATATATACACATACTTGTATATAATGGCATTAGGGAGTGTATATATAGTCATCAGAGTGTAATGTCATAAAAAATGATATATATATATATATATATATACACACACACACACACAATAATATGTAATGGCATTAGGTATATATAGTCATCAGAGTGTAATGTAAAAAAAAAAAAAAAATATATATATATATATATATATATATATATATATATATATATATATATATATATATATAACGTATGTACTGTCTTCAGCCCCAGTTCACACACAAGTGTTGTTTGGATATTATTTGATAGAATTTGCGTGACAAGTAAAATTGTACGTGTTCCTATTGAGGGCCTTCAGATACATGCAGTCCAGTCGCACTGGAGTTTGTTAAAAAGGCCCCTGTGTGATTTGAAATCGCAGTCTGTTGATTTGAATGGGAATGATCATAATACAATGTGTTTTTCATTGCTTTTCCCCAGCCCTGTATTTAGTGCAGTGTTGAGAGAGGATGTAAAATCACATTAAAAACTCAAACTCTCCAAAACTGAGCTTCTCGTCTTCCCCCCAGCCCGCCCCCCCCCCCCCCATCCTTTCCATCACTACCAACAACACCACCATCAATCCCGCCCAGCAAGCCAAGGTCCTTGGCGTCATTCTGGACTCAAACCTTTCCTTTCAACCTCATATCAAATCTCTCACAAACACATGCAGGCTCCACCTCCGAAACATCGCCAAGATACGCTCCTTCCTTACCCCAGACACCACTAAACTACTCGTACACTCCCTGATTGTCTCACGCCTGGACTACTGCAACTCCCTCCTCACCGGCCTACCCCAGTGCAGGCTCTCCCCGCTTCAGACCGTCCTGAACTCAGCGGCCAGACTCATCCACCTCACCAGCCGCTCCACCTCTGCCACCCCCCTCTGCCTCTCCCTCCACTGGCTCCCCATTGCCCAACGCATTAAATTCAAATTGCTCACCCTGACCTATAAGGCCATTCACAACACTGCCCCTAACTACCTCACCGACCTGATACCCAGGTACCACCCTACCCGTACCCTTCGCTCTTCACAGGACCTCCTTCTATCTTGCTCCCTGGTCTCCTCCTCCCACGCACGACTGCAAGACTTCTCCAGGTCCTCCCCCATCCTCTGGAACTCACTACCCCAATCCATCAGACTGTCACCTTCCCTCCTCACCTTCAGGCGCTCCCTGAAAACCCACCTCTTCAGGGAAGCCTACCCCACCCTCACCTAACAGCCGCTGCCCTTCCCTCCTCCTACCACTCCATCCCCCACAGCCGTTTCCTCCTGTGCCTCTACCCCCCCCCCTCCTCCTAGATTGTAAGCTCGAAAGAGTAGGGCCCTCTTACCCCTTGTGTACTGTTTGATGTTACTGTTCTGTTTCATGTATTGTCCCCCTCTATTGTACAGCGCTGAGCAAACCCTTTGGCGCTATATAAACTCGATAAATAAATAAATAATAAATAAATTAAAAACGCATGCAAAAAAATGCATCTCATTCACACTGTTTAATCACACTTTAAAACCATGTATGTGAGGCTAAAGGACTATATACTCATAAAATTGTATATAACATTGTGGTATATATAGTCATTAGGCTGTATGTAATGTCATTAAATAATATATTAGATGAGTTCAGGTATGTTCAGACTAGAACCCCAACCCCACATGTGTTAGCTCACTAAGGAAGCTGTCAGCTGTGCTGCTCAGTCATCACACAACCCTTATATATGTACAGCTGACGGATGAGGAATGTCCCAGACACAGAGAATTGACCTGCACAGGTGACTTCTTCCTGGTGGGCTCACACTTGTAGGTTCGTGGTCTTGTTTGAACATGCCTGAGCTTATCTTTAGTGATTAAAGTATATATAATCATTAGATTAAATGCATTGTCAGTTCTAAAAATATATATATCATTAAATAATATACATAGTCTTTAAAAAAAAAAAAATAGTAATTATGGTTTTTGTTAGATTGTATGTGATGCTATAGGGAATATATGTAGAATGTATGTATTTTCATCATGGAATATATAGTCACTAGATCATATGTATATTGGCATTATGGAATATATAATCATTAGATCATATGTAATGTTAACATGGAATATATAATCATTAGACTATATGTGATGTCATCGTGAAATATATAATCATTGGATCATATGTAATGTCATCATGGAATATATAATCATAGATCATATGTAATGTCATCATGCAATATTTAGTCATTAGATCATATATAAATGTCATCATGGAATATATAATCATTGGATCACATGTAATGTTATCATGGAATATATAATCATAGATCATATGTCATTCATGGAATATATAATCATAGATCATATGTAATGTCATCATGGAATATATAATCATAGATCATATGTAATGTCATCATAGAATATATAATCATTGGATCAAATGTAATGTCATCATAGAATCATGGAATATTGGATCAAATCATATCATGGAATATATCATATGTCATTCATGGAATATGTAATCATAGATCATATGTAATGTCATCATGGATTGTATAATCATTATATCATATGTAATGTCACCATGGAATATATAATCATTATATCATATGTAATGTTATCATGGATTATATAATCATAGATCATATGTAATGTCACCATGGAATCATAGATCACATGTAATGTCATCATGGAATATATAGTCATTAGATCTTATGTATTTTCATTATTGAATATATACAAGGTCTGTCCGGAAAAGTGCAGCCATTGTTAATATAAAGAGAACAGTTTGCACGACATCCATGTAAGCTGTCAACCAAGGAGAGTCGACTTGAATGCACATACGTGAACAATGACAACTTCACTGTACTAGTCAGTGGGGGCACTGACGCCATTGAGTGAGCATGTGTACTGTGAGGCCATCACATTCACAATGACTGAGCGAGTAGAGCAATGAATCTGCATCATATTTTGCATTAAGCTTGAACATTTCTCTGCAGAGACTATTCAGATGATTCTGAAGGCTTTCTGGGATGATGCAAAGATTGCAGCGCAAATAAAAGTCTGGCACAAACCCTTCAAAGATCTGTTGAAAGGTCAAGAATCTGTTGAAAGGCCTGCAACAAGCAGAAAACCTGAGAATGTTGAACGTGTATGTGCTGCAACCAACAAAGATCGTTGACTAACAGTACAAAAACTAGAAGCTCATCTGGGGATTCTAAAAACTACCATGTCCCAAGATTTTGTGTGCAGTCCCTAGGTGCCTACTTTGAGGAGGACTTGAGGCATCATTGTCTGAAGGTACAATGTTTCTTGTATCTTCTTCAATAAATGCCTCTATTTTTCTGATTACGTGGCTGGATACTTTCCAGGCAGACCTTGTAGTCATTAGATCATATGTAATGTCATTATAGAATATATAGTCATTAGATCTTATGTAATGTCATTATAGAATATATAGTCATTAGATCTTATGTAATGTCATTATAGAATATATAGTCATTCGTCATCATATGTATTGTCATTATGGAATATATAGTCATTAGATCATATGTATTGTCATTATGGAATATATAGTCATTAGATCATATGTATTGTCATTATGGAATATATAGTCATTAGATCTTATGTATTGTCATTATGGAATATTTAGTCATTAGATCTTATGTAATGTCATCATGGAATATACTGTATAGTCAGTAGATTGTATGTATGTATTGTCATCATGGAATATATAGTCATTAGATCTTATGTATTGCCATTATGGATTTATATAGTCATTAGATCATATGTATTGTCATTATGGAATATATAGTCATTAGATTTTATGTAATGTCATTATGGAATATATAGTCAAGGGAGTATTTACCACAAGGCAAACAAGGTACTTGCCTAGGGTGGCAGCACCTCCTCCAGAAGAAGGGATGAAAAAAGACACACGCGCACCATGGGAACCAGGTGGGATCCGAGAGAGGCTGCGGGTTGCTTGATGGTTTATGTAGAGCCTGGCTCTCGTTCCTGGGGATGTCCAGAGCTGTGAAGCTGAGTGTCTGTCTGTCTGTCTGTCTCTGTCTCTCTCTCTCTCTCTCTCTCTCTCTCTCTCTCTCTCTCTCTCAAAACCTAAATACACCACTGTATATAGTCATTAGATCTTATGTATTGTCATTATAGACTATATAGTCATTCACAGCTAGGGTTCCTAAAAAAATTAGCAATTTCTACATCTCGGAAAAGTTCCCACTAACTCAGTGATCTTAGCTGCCCATAGGAGGGAATTTTTTCTCACTGACCACCAATGTAAGGAGCATTCTTGCCACTGACCATCACGCTAATGTATCCTGACTTGTAGGTATAGTAATTAGCAGGGATGCCCTGAGACCTGAAAGTTATTTCAAGGATTTCTTCACAATAAAAAGTTCAAGAAAGGCTGGACAGGACTATAGGTAATGACAAACGTTCTTAAATGTCATAAAAACTCTTAAAATACTTCCAGAAACTGAAGAAATGCTTTCCTGAACCCCACAACAGCCAGACACAAGATCTCTGCTGAAGGATCATAAAGTCTAAACTCTAATCCTCTGATTTTTCTCTGTATTTTTATCAGGATTCTTGATCTCTCCCTCCCTTACCCCTCTGCCCTCCCCCCCAATGGACCGTAAGCGGAAGTTAATTAGCGAAACATTCAAAGTGAAGAAAAAGCGAGATGAAGACGGCGCAATCAAAACTGATTCAAGCACGGTGCCATCACCCTATCCAGGTAATGAGCAGGGTAGATGACATCACACCTACTTGGGAAAGACATTATAGGGGCACAGACAGCAATGAAAAGCAGGCTGGTTGTCTGTATCTTCCACACTTTATCCAAAATTAAAGAGAAGAAAAGAAAAGTTTTGACTTTAAATATTTTCATTTTTTTATTTACTAGATTTCACAGATAACCCCCAGGATGCTGTGCCATACCTGTGTGCTCTCTTTCCCCGCAAGCTGTTTAACGACACTTTGCCACCTATGTTTCTGCGCCATCAAATGTACAGCATCATACGAGACCGCACATCTGTAGACCGACTGCTGGTGGGTAACTTCTAGAAGAATTCTAGAAATCAGCTGGTTGCTGTTGGGTAGCTAGAGGTATGCAGATCCTAAAGCTGTACACTCAGAAGAGGACCTCCAGTCCTTTCTAAGCCACTGCAATAAAATTGTTGCAGCAGCACTTTGTGTAGTTTATGACAACCCTATAGCGCAAGCTGGAGCTGCCTTTAAAGCCCAGTTGAACTTTTGCTGTGATGTGCCTGGAATGTAATTAGCTGTTTTTAGGCCTTGTTCACACCATACATGCAGAAAAACGAATGGAAACTGATATTCAGATTTCACTTGCAGAGACATCAGTTTTCATGTACGCTTCAATGAATATTATACACGTTGCACAAAAAATCTGCATGATACTAATGTTGTGCTGTGAATAGGGCACATAGAGAACAATTTATTTTGTGCCCTTGCAGAAAGCATACAAAAAATGGCATCTCTGCACCATGCTGTGAACAAGCCTTAAAAGAGAAAATGAAAATACTTTTTTTTTGTAGTTCCATTTTCAAAAAGTTGCAGCTTACAGATATACATGAAAGCAACATAAATGAGGTAATAGAGTCTTACAGTCGAATCAGAACCATATGATTATGATGAAACAAAATGTGAGGATGATCACATAGAGCACTGCAGACCTGTGTGATACCATACAGCATAATATAAAAGGTACATAGAACAGCATTAGGAGAAACCTCCAACATCCTTCTATGGGTTTACCAGATATAGTAAAAGTACTGAGGTGCACATGACACCCTTGTGGCCAATGTGACCCAGGAAAGGAACACACAGAAAAAAAAAAAATGGAGGTCAGTATGACTGTATGGTAAAATGTCCCAGTACTGGGCCAAATTTATGGGATAAGGTATAAAGAGGGGGGGGGGGGGGGGAGTATAGGAAGGGAAAGGAAAGCACCCAGAAAGAGGGAATATGGGAGACCCATGTGTATCAGACACATAAGGTACACACATGGGAGAGTGAGAACACAGAAAAAAAGGCAGTAATGCAAAGGGGTGAAACCACTATAAGTATCTAGAAGAGCAGAGTCTCGCACCTAGAGTCCACAGGCCAGAGACCCAGATAGTCAACTAGAAGGTAGGCATCAGTTTATATGAAGTATTGCCAGGGCCTCCAGGTGTCACAAAAGGTCTCCTCCCGGTCGTAGTTGCTGTAAAGTCTTCCATGTCTCTAAGTTCATTCACTTTAGATAGCCAAAGGGACTTCAAAGGCAGGTTCAGAACTAAAAATACCTTAGTCTCAATGATCCAGTCCCCATGAGGTCCCTCCCAAGTATTGGCGTCTTCTCCTTGGCTTCTTGTGGGTGTCAGTATTCTGCTGCCTTGATGGCTGGCGTGGGAAGACGTCACTCCTGCACATGCCCACAAGTGCAGTAATTCCAGCACCCAGGTAGTGTAACGGAATGTAAACTGAGCAGTGCATGTGCAGCTCAGTGTACATTTTACAGGGGATTGCAAACAGGCAGGTACATTTATTTTATTGTATTGCCTGTTCGTGTTTTTTTGTTATTTTTCAACTTAATTCCACTTTAAGCAGAAAGTTCAATTGGACTTTTCTTATCTTTGGTCCAGCTTCAGCTTTTTCCACTAAATGTTTACTGATGACCACCAGGTTTGTCTTAGAAGGTAAACTGCTCCACCCAGGGGGTACGTAACACTCGTTTTGAGACTGGCAACTGATCAAAGATTTGTACATTTTGATAACTTGTGACAGTCTGTACTCCGCATGCTTTGCTGTATGGGTCTTTTCCTTGTCTATGCAGAGCTCTTTACAGCAGAAGGGTGAGGTGTGCCTAGTTCAGCCAGGGTTTGATCCTGACACCTTTTTAGTGGCGATGAGCGAGGATTTACGTGCAGCAGTGCTCCGAAGCGTTGATGAGAGTTCCAGAACCACCATTGTCCAGAAATTCCTGGACTCCAGCCTGTTTTCCTCTTCTAAGATCAGCTACAACAGAGAGGAAATGATGCAAAAACACCGCTTCAGTGACCGAGAGATCACGTAAGAGAAACAACATTGGTTTAAATATGGAGAGTGACATAAGAATTAACATTTTTTTTATATTAAAAAGAGTTTTAAAAATCTGAAGAAATTACAGTCATTATAATTCCTCCCTCATATGGGTATCCCCTGTCCACTATTACAAACAAATGGCAACCACCCCAACCAATAACTGGTCTCTGCAGCAAGGAGCACATGAAAAGGGCAATGCATGTCAAAAATTAACAAAGAAAAATTCCCAGCTCACTTACCAGCTAGCCTGCAAAAAATCCAATTGCCCTGTCTAACAGTTCACATTAAAACCAGAAGTTTAGTTTGCACACATTTGCAAGTACACTATATTGCCAAAAGTATTTGGCCCGCCCTCCAAATCATTGGAATTCAGGTGTTGCAATCACCTCCATGGCACAGATGTATAAAATCAAGCACCTAGGCATGCAGACTGCTTCTACAAACATTGGTGTGATAAAGAATGGTCGCTCTCAGGAGCTCAGTGACTCCAAGCGTGGTACCGTGATAGATTGTCACCTGTGCAATAAGTCCATCCGTGACATTTCCTGGCTACTAAATGTTCCACGGTCCAACTGTTAGTGGTATTATAACAAAGTGGAAGCAACTGGGAACAACAGCAACTCAGCCACCAAGTGGTAGGCCACGTAAAATGATAGAGAGGGTCAGTGCACACTTAAACGCACAGTGAGCAGAAGTCGCCAACTGTCTACGGAGTCAATAGCTATAGACCTCCAAACTTGGTGTGGCCTTCAGATTAGCACAACATCAGTGCATAGAGAGCTTAATGGAATGGGTTTTTTCATGGCCGAACAGCTGCATCCAACCTTAGACCACCAAGAGCAATGCAAAGCGTCAGATGCAGTGGTGTAAAGCACGCCGCCACTGGACTCTAGAGCAGTGGAGACGTGTTCTATGGAGAGACAAATCACACTTCTCTCTCTGGCAATCCGATGGACGTGTCTGGGTTTGGTGGTGGCCAGAGAACGGTATTTGCTTAACTGCATTGTGCCAAGTGTAAATTTTGGTGGAGGGGGGATTTATGGTGCGGGTTGTTTTTTCAGGGGTTGGGCTTGGCCCTTTAGTTCCAGTGAAGGGAACTCTTAAGGCGTCAGCATACCAAGACATTTTGGACAATTTCATGGTCCCAACTTTGTGGGAACAGTTGGGGATGGCCCCTTCCTGTTCCAACATGACTGCGCACCAGTGCACAAAGCAAGGTCCATAAAGACATGGACAGCGAGTTTGGGGTGGAGGAACTTGACTGGCCTGCACAGGGTCCTGACCTCAACCTGACAGAACGCTTTTGGGAGGAATTAGAGTGGAGACTGTGAGCCAGGCCTTCTCGTCCGACATCAGTGCCTGACCTCACAAATGTACTTCTGGAAGAATGGTCAAACCTTCCCATAGACACCCTCCTAAACCTTGAGAACAGCCTTCCCAGAGGAGTTGAAGTTGTTATAGCTGCAAAGAGCGGGGCCAACTCAATATTGAAACCCTACAGACTAAGACTGGGATGCCATGTGCATGTTCATGTGCGTGCAAATACTTTTGGCAATATAGTGTATATGTGTAAGCTGCAGGGCCACTTCACGGCACCCTAATGTACTGCAGTCCTAACTCTATAAATTTTGAGAGTCTCCAAAGTTGGAGCACATATATGATAATGGATAGACTAAAGGCAGGTATGCCTGGAGCGTGCCCGCCCCTCCTAAAGGTATAGGGATGCACTGGACACCCAGCAATAGCATAGTGGCAGCAAAGGTATCTAGTGCATCCCCATATAACAATTAAACCCTCACAATACAAACAGATGGCAACCACCCTAACCTATAACTGTCCTCTGCAGCAGGGAGCACATGGAAGGGCAACGCATGTCAAAAAACTAACAAAAAAAAAATTCCCAGCTCACTTACTTAACATTGGTTTAATAGAGAGAGTGACATAAGAATGCAAAGATTTTTTTTCTCTGTTGATATTAAAAAGAGTTAAAAATCCCAGAAGAAATTACAGTTATCAAAATTCCTCCCTCATATGGGTATCCCTGTCCAGTATTAGCAGGGTACATCAATCTCATAAAAATCAGTCCAAACTGAGTTTACATATATACGCTTTTGGACTGAAGATGCAGTGCATAATGGGATCATTATTCCTCTACAAGTTTCTTGGGTATGCTCCGCTTTCTTAGGGCTCATGTACACTGAAGCTCCTAAACTGATTTTCAGGAGCTGTTCAGCATTTTTTTCAGCAGCCCCTGAACTCTCCTTAATGTTTTCCTATGTGTCCATGTACACATCGTCGTTTACAGGCAGTTGAGTTTACAGTCGTTTTTTTTTTTTTGAACGCACCAAACTTGCGTTCAGGAAAAGATTTTACTGGCGTTTCAAACGCTTGTAAACGCGGTTAACGGCATTTATAAACCGTTTGCATTTGGAAGCGTTTTTTAACTGTTCTATGTCCAGATGCTGTCCAAACATCATCATTAGAAATGCATGCAAAGCGTTTTCCATGTATTCAAATGGACCTAGTACACACCAGTGCAGTCAGTTCCAGGTTTCTCGTGAAGGAAAAATTGGTAGAACGTGCTGCATTATGCTCATGATGGGATCCATAGTGAATACAACCAGAAAATACAGGTCATCTCAACACATACTGCTCTCTCTGCTTCTGCTCTCTCTATTCCTCTCAAAATGTCTGAAATAGTTAATTTTTTACTATTTTTCAATGCATTCTGGGCATTTGGGAAGGTCTCCTGAGGATATATTTTAAAAACGCTTCTGTGCATAAATGCGGCATGCAAACATGGCTAAACTGATGTTTTTTACCTACGTTTTCCAGCAGTCAGTTTCCATCGTTCAGACATTTTCCAAACGCCCCCGTGTACATGAGCCCTTAGGCAGATGAGAAAGGTTAAAACTGTATAAAGTGTAGAAACATTTAAACAAATAGTTCATATAACAATATGTCTATATACACTCACAATTTCACTCCCATGTTTCATGCACTAGTTTATAGTAAGACAACCATTCAATATTAGATTCGAGTTAACATTAGAGCAGGGATCCAAAAGTACAAACGAAACCAGCGCTCAAATCTTCATGCAGACTAGAAGGAACTTTGAATGCCAAATGTTGAGGTGCAGCCCTTCAAAGATCGGGAAATCTTGGTACTGGTAAACGAAAGCAAAGAAGGGCGTACTCTCATCGTGCATTAATGTGGTAAACCACAAATTTATTTAAAAAAACATATAGATGTATACTCACAAACAAAGAGAGCTCTGAAGAAGGGAGACCGTCTCCCGAAATGCGTTAGCCTATCCCTACAAGGGTCTATTATTCCATTGGACTTACATTACAGATTTATCTGCTCTGTTTTTATTCTCTTTGGTTTGTGAGTATACATCTATATGTTTTTTAAATACATTCGTGGTTTAGCACTTTAATGCATGAAGAGAGTGCGCCCTTTTTTTGCTTTTGTTTATTAGAATAGGGATGGCCAACCAACTTCCCATTTTGGCTACTTTTGTCTTAGTGCTGTGAACAGTTTCTTCATAGGCTGTCTATCTGTCTTTTACAGTCCAGTGTATGGGGTATGTAGTAAACAAAGATCACAGGGGAGCCGATTCTGTGCTTGGATTTGATGGTATTAAGATTGATTGTGATTTATGACTACAGTCTTGCTTTTCTTACAGGCAGCTGGTCAATGCCGGACTGCTGACAGTGAGGGATGCTGGGAGTTGGTGGTTGTCAGTTCCTGGCGCAGGGAAGTTTATCTCACATTTTATAAAAGGTCAGAATCCTGGTCTGTGTAGTTTTGCATCTGTACTCTTTCTGTCACCTCTCTTCATCAGCAAGATTACGCAGTCAGGCAACACGATGGGTAGTGATGAGAACAAAGACCTTTTAAATGATAACTTATTTTATATTAAAAAAATGGCACAGTAGAAAGTATTTACATTCAATGCAAAGTGCCCATTGTGCTCTTAGCTGATCTCAAATGTCCTTCGCCCCCAACCACCCCATAATCTTTGTGCTGCAGGGGATAATATGAGTGCTGGGACTTATCAGGAGTGTTGCCTAGGTCCTCCGATCTTTCATTCATAGAAGCTGTACTATAGCTTTCAGCATAGAAAGGCATTCTATGAATGAAGGATGGCTGGATGAATGAAAGGTCCTCAACCTTCTGTGAATGGAGGAGGGGGGCAAGAAGGGCAAATATAGGCCATACTCATGAGGAGTTGCTGTGAAAGGTCCAGCAATTGTATTAATCTCTGCAGCACTGGAAGATTACGGCTGCAAGGTATGGCGGTGGGGCAGAGGACTTTGGATTTTTTTTTATTTTTTTTATTTTTTTTAACACGCTGCACCAAAATGCATAGTACTGTTACAATGCTTTTTGGCAGGCTACAACACACACTGCTTACCAAGGTGCATTGGGATACCATGAATTATGAATGGCAGTACAGCTGCAAGAAAGACACACAATTTTGTGTACCGCCAGAATGTGCTCAATTTCTCGTACTTTCCCCCGGTGTACAGATATGAACGGATGATATGCCTATGCCTGTAACCAGCATTCCATGTATTTATTTTGAAGATGAGGGGGAGGAGGAAGGTGCAAATAAGAGAGAGGTTCATGGAATTAAAGTTATCCATGAACAACCAGTCCAAAATTATTTCTAAGGTGGTCTGACTCAAATGGTATCCTATAGGATATTGCACATGACACATTGCCATTGTTCTTTGTACTCTTTTAATGTGTATATAGACCCGGTAACAAAAAATGCAATATATTGCAGCTCAGCAGTGCAGAGATGAAGTGTGTTGTTTTTTTTTTTTTTTGTTTGTTTTTTTTTAGCCTGGTGATCCTGCCACAAATATGAAGTGACCGTGCTCTGTATATATTGGAGGAACAGCATTGTCATCCTAGGTTGCTCTCTTGAGTTTGAATACAAACCCCTCCATCTCCTCATCTCTCTTACATAGAGGGATGTGTTCTGTGGTCCACAGAGAGAACCGGGAACAATGTAACCGATAAGTATACAGAACAAGCAGAAAGCACTGGATATGATCAGCTCACTCAATTAAGGGATCAACAGTTATTTCTTTTTGCTCCAATCAAATTAATATAAAAACTTGTTAACTTGTATATAATAGGACCAAAAGGAAGCAAAAAGAAAAGTTGGGTTTACACACACTTTAAAGGATAAGTTCACCTTTTCATAACATGTTACACCCATATTCAGGGTGTAACATGTTATGAATACACCGCGGTAGTTACATATAGTTACATGGTTAGTCTGGCTGAAAAAAGACAAGTCCATCCAGTTCAACCATAGAAAACAAAAAAAAGTTATAGTCCTATACCCACAGTTGATCCAGAGGAAGGCAAAAAAACCCAGCAAAGCACGATCCAATTTGCTCCTGCTGGGAAAAATATTCCTTCCTGATCCCCGAGAGGAAATCTGATATTCCCTGGACCAACTTTACCTATAAAAGTTAGTATCCAGTTAGTTCATTGAGTCTTCCTGTCAGTATATCTGCTTGCCTGTACATCCTTTACGAGCAAGCAGGTATACTGACAGATCTGCAGGAGACTTGCACGGCACCAGTGATCTGCTGATTACTGGTGCAATGCTTTTAGAAGCTTCTGCAACAAGAAATAATAAATGCACATTTTTTTTTACCTGAAAAAAAATGTGCATTTTTTATTTTCTCTATAAAGATAAACTTATCCGTTAAATAAAGCATAACCAAGTCTGTATCACCCCCCCCCCCCCCCCCCCCCCTGCTCAGCATACTTGCACATTATGGCAAAATCTGGGGGGCCAACAAATGCATTTCTTCCTTCTGTATACTTCGAGTCATGTGCATATTTTTTAAATGTATAATTTCCTTACTATTTCATTTACCAAAAGCTCAGAAATGTCTTTTCTTGTGTCTCTCAGGACGGAAGGCCCTTGTGTCTCAGATCAGCAAATCTCGGTATAAAGAAGTCCTCCTTGTGGACCTCTCCACGCGGAAGCCTCCCTCTTCCCTACGCTTAGGGATGGAATACCACATTCATGACATCATAGGCGCGGGTCTTGTGGACTGGTGGGTGTGACAAGAATACACACAGTACTGATGATGAAGACCGTTAATTGAAGCTAATCTGTCCATTTGATTTATTTGGAGGACAAGAATGGAGAAAACATACTTTTTTTTCTTTACGCTATAGATTTGGTAGCTCGGCTACTCTCTACTGAGAATAAAAGCTGAGCGTAAATAACATTCAACATTTGTGAGCCCCAAGGTAGACAGTCTCAATTAGAAAATCAAAGCACCAAAAACCAACACATTTTGGCACTTGGGCACTTCTTCCTTTGGGGTTGATCTCTGTTCTAAAACAAACCTTAAAGCCTAAGCCCTAATTTAATATCCTCTTAACCCTTTTGCTGCCAGGTCCAGTGGTGTATTTAGGTTTTGTGCTGCCCTAGGCAACACAAAAATTGGCGCCCCCCCCACAGAAAGAGCCTGACATTGACCAAGAGCACCCCTGCCCTCCACTACCACTGCCCCCCCATACACCAGCCACCATCCCCCATGGTGAGAGAGAGAAAGACACTCACCTTCACAGCTACGGACATCCCCAGGAATGAGAATCGGGCTGTGTGTACACCGTCATGAAACCCACAGCATACCCACCAGGCCCCCATGCCGCGTGTGTCCCTTCTTCCAAGGGGAAGTGCGGCCCCCCCCTGAAAAATGCCACCCTAGGCAATTGCCTTGTGGTAAATACACCCCTGGCCAGGTCCATATATCATACAGACCTGACAACGGAGGGATTTTAAATACAATCTATTGTGTATGCATCTGCCAAGCAGAATCCTGCCTGTCAGATGGTAGCATTATGGCAGCTGCACTGCCACCTGATTACTTCCACACACCCCTGGTAACGTGTGTGCCACCACCTGGTATCCTGGGCTCTGCATGCCCATCTGCGAGCCCAGGACCAGAATAGCAGGTGCTGCTGGGTAGAGGGGAGAGAGCAGAATGGACAGACATCCACTCTCCTCCCCTTCTTGTTGCTGACCTGGTAAAACGCCACTTCCGAGTCCCCATGTCGGTGTACCTGGCCAGTATGGCCCGGAAAGAATCTAAGGCAGTATAATCTGCACTGCATTAGACTCAGTGTAGCATAAAGGAGACATCCAGGGTCTTTTAGATCCCGGATGTCTCAATAAAGAGAACATGTTTCCCTATGTGATGAAAAAAGAATTAAATAAAAAAATATTTTTAGATTGTAAAAAAAATTTAAGTTAAACTCAAGCACATAAAATCCCCCCAAAAAATGTTTTTGAGCCCCCCACCCCCACATATACACACATAGAAATGTAAGCGCATTCATCAGGGACACCTATACATGAATATGTCAATTGCGATATACAAGTTTACACGTGAACGATACATGCTGGAGTGAGAGCAATGTTTCTAGCACCAGACCTCCTCCATAATCCTCACTGCATTAAATTCAGTGGAGCAGAAACTGATGACCTATAAGGGGCTTTTAAAGCGCCACCTATGTAAAATATAGGGTACAAAACTTTGTTGCCATTTCACAGGAACATGCAAATTTTAAAGTTTGACATGTTGGGTATCGATTTACTCAGTACAAAATGTTATTGTGTTTATGTGCCCTAACATTAACTTTAGTGTATTTTTTTACAGAAATTTTGTGTTTCCTAGACTTTTGTGTGGTAATATTGTGTGACATAAAAAAAATTGCAACTACCGCTTTTTTAATCTCTAGGGTGTCTACTTTCAGAAAATATATAATGTTTTGGGGGTTTACGCAATCTTTAGGCCTAAAGTGATTTGCTAAATGTATGCAAAAGTGGCTCTGGCAAAGAAAGGGTTAAATAGTTTGTTTGGGCCAAACTGGCCCCAACAAATTATTTACTGCACTAACCAGTATGCTTGATGGGGGCGCTTTATAAACCCTATGTAGCATTAGCTACATTCAGTATACAGCTCTGTGTTGCGGAAGTGGGGCAAGCTGCTCAGCCAGAATGCAAGTGTACAATCCAAATGCACACATTCCTGCGTTACAAATGGCTGTGTGTATATAAGTGGGTGCTACAGCGATCGTCGGCTGGAACTGAACAGAATCAGCAAGGGGGAGAAAGTCACCAGAACACTGAGGATCACCAATATGGGTCCCAAATTTTTAATGAACGATCACATAGTTACAGCAAGGCAACGTTTCAGAGTCTCGTAGGACCCCTTCACATACCTGATGAAGGGGTCCTGCAAGACTCCGAAATGTTGCCTTGCTGTAACTATGTGATTGTTCATTAAAACTTTTGGACCCATATTGGTGATCCTCGGTGTGCTGGTGACATTCTTCCAAGCTGCTCAGCTATTCACGGGAAGCTTTGTATTCTATGAAATGAATACAAAGCTTTCTCTGATTGGCTGAAGTGGAGAAGTGGGTGGATGTCACAATCAGAGGAAGCTTTGTATTCATTCATAGAATACAAAGCTTCCCGTGAATGGCTGAACAGTGCTCAGCCTGACTCTTTTTTTTTTTTTTTTTTTGTGTGTTCCAGGAGAGAGATGAGAAGTGCCACTCCCAGAACACATGCAGTAAATAGTTTGTTTGGGCCAGCTTGGCCCAGACAAACTATTTTATGGGTCATTTAAATGTGAAGTTTGGCTTTAATCTGTGTGTTTAGAATTATTGGATAATCCATGGCAGCTTTATAGGAGAAGGAAGCTCCTTGTTGTAAGTTACACCTGTCTCAGAAAAGTGATACCTAGACCCGGCCACAAAAAGGTTGCTTCTCTCTGCAAGGTGCGGCAGAATATCCTGTTACTCTAAGACACTTGATTGGAGCAAGAACAGCAATCCACCCTGACGCATCTTCATATGCACTAGTCTGTCAGTCCCTCTGGTTGTACAAGCAGCTGGTGCTGTAGATTTGTTGACCTTGTCCCCTATATCTGTCACCTGGAATCGTGAGACCTGAGCCAGGGTTGCTTTAGCTTCAAGTATTTTATTTTACCTTTTAATGACATAGATACAAGAGACCTGTATGTGTACCAAGTTTGGTGAATCACTTGCATTTTTATGTATGGCCTTCCCTAGGACCTGGCTTGGTAGATATTTTTAAAATCCTTAATTCTTTTAATTAAAATACAAAAAAGGTTTAACCATTTCAGTACCGGGCACTTTTACCCCCTTCTTGCCCAGGCAAGCGCTGTCGAACTTTGAATGACAATTACATGGTCATGCAACACTGTACCCAGTGGTATTTAATCACCACTGAGTTTTTTTATTTTTTGCTAAATTAAAACAAACAAAACCTGAAACTTTTGAAAAAAAACACACTTTTCTTTATTTCGGTTCTAAAAGTTCGCAAATTTTTAACATTTCTTCATAACTTTAGGTCAAAATGTATTCTGCATTTCTTTGGTGAAAATAATAATAATTTTTTTTTTTTTCAAAATTTTCTATTTTTTTTATTTATCTTTTTTTTTTTTTTCAACACACTGGTACCAAAGCAATACAATGTTACCATAGTAACATTGAACTACTCTGGGCAAGTTATTAGGATTTTTTTTTTTTTCAACACACTTACCAAAGCAATACAATGTTACCATAGTAACAATGAACTACTCTGGGCAAGTTATCAGGATTTTTTTTTTCAACACATTCTGATTGCTAATACCAATGTATTTCATTGATATTTGCAATCATTATTACTGAATAAAACTGATTCAGTCAGTCTTTTGTATGGGCTGTGATTGGCCCTGTCTGTATCATGTGACTGCTTTGACCAGTCACAGGTAACAACATAATTGTATACAATGGATGGCATGACAGGAAGCCATCCATTGTATACAATTGACGTGATCTGCTGTGATTGGTCACAGCAGTCTCATGACATTGGCAATGGGGCAGTGTAGTGATATGTCATCGGCTGTGTCCCGTGGACACAGCAGGTGACAGATTGCGTAGCCGTGTGAGCGGCTCCTTTTGGCAGGACGTCATATGATGCCCAGTTACAACGGCGAGTGTCCCGTCTGGCCATCAATCTGCTATAGGCCAGGCGGGAAGGTGTTAAAATTCAGCACTTTGCAACGACCAGCATAAATGTTCCTTCAAAATGTTACAAAAATTTGACAGGTTACTTTGTTAAAAATGTTAAAGTAGAACTAAATGCAAAACTTTTTTTTTTTTCATTTTGGATAGAGCAAGGGAGGGTTATAACTTCTGTCAGACTTTATTCACCATCTGTGTGGATTTCCCTTCACTTCTTGTCTCATAGCCAAACAGGAAGTGAGAGTAAATCTCTGCAAATTAAGGGAATTCCTCGGGGACCCCCAAGTCACTAGAACTAGTGTCCCCATTGGAAGATTTCACCTCTATTACTTTTCTGGGGGACAACCCAAAATGGGATTTTCTTTTATTTTCACTTGCAATAATAATGGTAAACAGGACAAATAGAGAGGGGGAATCTCCCTAATGGGGGCACAGACAGTAATAAAAACTGAAAGGTGATCTAATCCATCTCCCCTCTGTCCAAAACCAAAAAAATTTTATCTTTTGTTATACTTTAAAGATGTCCATAGCATGGATAACTTAGTTCACAAAAGGTCCAGGTAGACTCACCATTTCAACACTGAAGTGGGGCTATAATTTGGCAATGAGCTCTTTTGCTGGGGGTGGGAATGGATGGTGGCAAAGAAGATGTGCATACATGGACAATCCCTGTGTACAGGGTCGGTGTTAGACTATTTTGTACCCTAGGCAAGACCAGCTAATTGCACCCCCCCCCCAAAAAAAAAAATTAAAAACAGTAGAAAATATTAAATCAACAAAACATGCTAAATTTATTTTAATTTGCAAAAATAAGTGCCATAAGATAGCTCTGACAGACCCCAAGCTGGAATTCCCCAGTGCTGTGATAACAGGCAGCTCAGCCCACACACACACAGAGAACACCTGAACTGAGTGATCCGACACAGTGGCAGATCCGACACAACACACCACCATCAACACTTACAGATCAGCAGGCACTAGAAGAGCAGGCTGTGGGATCGTGATGATGTCATCACTCATGGACACATGGCACATATGATAGCCGGCTGGCCGGGTCACATTCACACAAACACGAGACATCAGAGTCAGACATTACCTTCCTCGGCAGGCGCAGCTCCGCCTCTGCTGATGAATGGGAAGAGAAGGGCTGGAACTGGCTTGCAGTAAGGGACTGAGTCTGAGAGGAACACTGGAAGGGGTGGCAGCTCAGCTGCCACACTGGCCCCAGACACCCGGCATCTTCCTCTGTCCTTTCTTCCTCCCTCTCTGCTGCCCCTCCTCTCAGCTGGAGGATCATTCATGACAAGGCGGCGTCCCACACAGAGTGATTGCCTGTGCTGTGCCCAGACGCCCCTAGCTGGCAGTGCGCCCTAGGCGGCTGCCTATTGCAGGGGTAGGCAACCTGCGGCTCTCCAGCTGTTGCAGGACTACAAGTTCCATCATGCCTCTGTAAGTCATAGCTGTAACTGTCAGTTTGTAATGTTGCAATGCCTCATGGGAAATGTAGTTCCACAACAGCTAGAGAGCAGCAGGTTGTCTACCCCTGGCCTAGTGGAAGCACCGGCCCGGCCTGTGTATCCAACCCACCCAGATCTTATTACATTTTTTCAGACAACTCTGACATGAATAGGTAAGTTTTTTTTTTTTTTTTTTGTTTATTTTTTCTAGAGGTCTTACTTAGTTGCCTTGTTTTTGCTAGATGATTACAAAAGTGATTTGATTGCCACGTGCTGCAGGCTGCCCCTCACAGTGTTATCTGTGTAAAGCTACAAGTGTTCTCCTAAAACGTAAGATTGGTGTCTCAGTTACTGGTCTTTGCGGAAGTAGCCAATCACAAACCAGTGAAAAGAAAAAGAGTTCAAACAACCGTGCCAAGAAAGGAGTCATTGAGGGATAACTTGCATCTGTTGTCAGAGGGAAATCTTGCCTTCTGGGCTGTTAGGCTACGTTCACACTGGACTTTTTTTCTAACTCCTGCCAAATGCCCGTATAGCTGCCAAAATTTGAAGACAGGCTCTAATCGCCAGCATGAATAAGGCCTAAGGCTACGTTCACACTAGGTTTGTCAGCAGGCTTTTCACAGGCATTTGGGAAGCTTTTGTAATGCTCCCCAAACGCCCTATGCACATTTTTGAGGCATCTCCTAGATTGTAAGCTCCAAGGAGCAGGGCCCTCCTATCCCTCTTGTATTGAACTGTATTGTTGCTGTATTGTCTCCCATTATATTAAAGCGCTGAGCAAACTGTTGGCGCTATATAAATCCTGTATAATAATAACAATAATTTGATAGGCGTTTTCAAAGCGTTAAAACCGCACAACAAACACCTATCATGAAGCTCCTCAAACGCCTCGCAAACACTCCGCAAATGCCTGCCAGGCGTTTGAGAAGCGTCACTATAGACTTGAATGGGAGGCTTCAACTCCTCCTGACTCGACATTCAGTGTGAACAGCACTGTGTGCTGCCATGTGCAGAATTTTCATAGGCGTTTGAGAAGTGTTAAAAACGCTTCCCAAATGCCTGTCTGACACCTGCTGACAAACCTAGTGTGAACGTAGCCTTAGGCCTTATTCATGCTGGCGATTAGAGCCTGTCTTCAAATTTCTGCAGTGGATTCTTGTAGACAGAATCACCCGTGATGATGTTTAGCTGCGTCTGCTCTTCAGATGTGAATGAATGGCATGCTGTGGCTGCCTGTGGATAAAAGTACATGCAGCTGTTACCTGCGGTTAGGGACAGATCAACTCTGGGCGCAAACAGATGCATGTAGGCTTGGACATCCCTCCCTAATCGCAGGTAACCCCTGCATCTGTGGATACGTGCGAACAACAACAGCTCCTCTTCTTTTCAGTAAATATTGCTAGTAACCAGGGGCGGACTGACCATTTGGGAACTCGGGCACTGCCCGAGGGCCCGGGGTCAGTAGGGGGCCCCATGAGATGCCCCTGGTAGCTTTCGTAGGCTTTTTTGGGTGTGGTTTGAGTTTGGGCAAGGACACAGGGGCCCCATGATCCCTTACTACCTGAGGGGCCCCATGAGTTGTCAGTCCGCCCCTGCTAGGAACAAAGCAAAAGTACAAAGCAACCCACAGCAACCAATCATAATTAATTTTAGCAAACCCAAACTAATTCAAGATGAAATCTGCCTGTTATGAGTTGCTGTGTTTTTATTGAATAAGCCTCTAGATTTCTGTCCTGCCAATGGTTAATGGTTACTTCTATCTTAACGTGTTACTAAACCCACAACAGTAAAATCAGTCTGTATATGCAGTAAAGCATGCTTGTTATACTCACTGTGGAACCTAAGAGGTTAGTCATCTACATTGTGTAAAAAATGCTGTTTGTTCCTGTCTTCTCTGATCCTCCCCTTCTACTGTCCCCAATCCGTCTGCTGATAGTACAGAGCTCTAAGAGTCACTCTGCACATGCTCAGTTTAGTGTTTGACTAGAGTGGGTTTTTTTCTTTTCTTTGGGAGGGTGCATGTGATCATCACAGAGCCAATCAGCACTGTCCAGACGGAGGGTCAGGGGTCATGCAGCCTCATAGGACAGTGAGAGCAGAATGAAAGCTCTTCCTACAAGATTAACCAGTGCTCAGCTGGACACTGATAGACGTCAAAAGACTGCTATTTACTGCTGATGAGAAACGGTATTTAGCAGTTTATATATACTAAAGTATTTGCATTTCCATGTAGTGTGCACTGTGTGGGACCAGATATAGTGAATTCAGGGTCCTGGGTTTAGTAACACTTTAAGTATATTATGTAGGTGTTGCTTTGATTCAACTTAGCTGCAAAACATGTAAGATTTCAATTATGGGTGAATAAGGAACAATCCGTTTTTTTTTCTCATATCTTATTGTTCTCTTTCAGCATTCCTACAGCGTCTGGGATACTTCTTCGCCTATCAGACAATTAGCACCTCCACCCCCACGTGCCTTCAGAATCATATCCATAGTTCTGTTGTGTTCATTCCTGAGCCAAAACCTTGGACCCGTGTACAAGCACTGTAATTCCCGTGCCGCAGATCTCCAAATGAACATGCGCCATTTTTATCTCTATGTCACTTTAATAAATGATTATTTATTTAAGTTATTCAATGTCACTTGTGCAGACTTCTTCTCACATACTGTACATGAAGTTTTGTGGTTGGTGGCCCTTTGGACCCTTCACCATTTTGTGTTTCTCCATGTAGTAGTATATTTAATTGTCCAAATAGAAACCTGTATGTTAGGCTACGTTTACACAATGGCGGCCGAAGCGCAATGAAAACTGGCAGATCTGTGTCTTTACCACTCCCCAGATGTCTGCTTACAAGTCAGCGTAGCAGCAGGACTATGCTATACACATTTCTACAGCCGTGATGCTTGGCAGCAAAATTGCATTACAGTATGTCACATTTGGCAGGCCGTGCTGTCTGCCACCATTGAGGTGAACAGGGCCGCACTGCAACTACATGCCAAAAACTTGGCACACAGTTGGGGCATGGTAGTTCCATGTAAAATCTCCCTAGGGTAATAAAAAACAGGTCTACAGGAGGTGACAGTATCACGTCCTGAACACCTGGAAATTGCTTCTTTACTGCCCTCTGAAAAATGATCCAACGCAGATTGCTTTTCAGAGGGAAGTCTGCTGCTTTTATGATTGAGTCCTTATGGTGTGCTGCACTTTAGATTTGTTGCCCCCTATGGTAATAGTGCAATGCAGTGCATATGTTACTGTGCATACTGGCAAAGTGCGGCCAAAAGCAGGTTTTACCATGTAATACTGCAATGCCTAAATGTAAATGGACTCTGAAGTATGGAATATGGAGTGTGCTATGTTGTCCTCTCCTTCTTAAACTGCTAGTTGCCTGGTGTCACACTGTAAGGCAGCCCATAGATGATTCGATTTTCTTTCTTTCCACCACAAGTGGAAGGAAAGAAAATCGTTCGGTTGTCCCATCAACACAGTCAGTGTTGATGGGGGTATGCCTTCCACAATGCTATTGTATTCTGGGGGGAGGACGTGCGGGGAGCCTTCCCGGCTAGCAGAACACAATGATTACCGCTAGCGCCTATAGCCTCCGACAGTAATCGCATGCCAAAAATTCAACAGGCTGGTTGTACTCAAGTCAAATGATGGATCAACTTGGGAACAATTAGCCTGCTCATACATGGATCAACATTCGTCCAGTCCCTGCTGATTTTCGATCCATGTATGGCCGGCCTAATTCTGGTTTCAATACTTTGATTCACTGATCTGGAACAAGTATGCAGACAAATAATAATCTTATTAGATCATAATTAAAGGTTCAGTTTATTGTCCCAAAACCACACAAGAAGTGTGATATACAAATTCTGTCGTATCTCCTTTTCAAACCACGATAAATAATCCACAGGTGAACAGGAAATAAGTGAAATACGCACTCACCAGAAGTGCATTTAAGATACGCATGAAAGCAAATTCCTCTCTCATCAGGTACATCTGGGTCCTTGGATCTCAGGTCAGGCTGCGCTCTCGCTAGACATCCATCATGGCCAAGTTCCCTGGTTCCTCAGACACTTATGCACCTTAGGGGTCCCTCCTTAAGTTTGGTACTCTCTGCTGCCACTTCCAGCAACGTCTCCTCTATACTTCCTGTCTGTACCTGAACCTGTACAGACAGGAAGTATAGAGGAGACGTTGCTTTGGTACAGCAGAGGAGTACCAAACTTAAGGAGGGACCCCTAAGGTGCATAAGTGTCTGAGGAACCAGGGAACTTGGCCATGATGGATGTCTAGCGAGAGCGCAGCCTGACCTGAGATCCAAGGACCCAGATGTACCTGATGAGAGAGGAATTTGCTTTCATGCTATCTTAAACGCACTTCTGGTGAGTGCGTATTTCACTTATTTCCTGTTCACCTGTGGATTATTTATCGTGGTTTGAAAAGGAGATACGACAGAATTTGTATATCACACTTCTTGTGTGGTTTTGGGACAACAAACTGAACCTTTAATTATGATCTAATAAGACTACATTAAATTGCCCCCTTTTTTTTTGTTCCTTTTTCGATTTTTTTTTTCTTTAAAAAAACTATCACAGATCCACGGCCACCCCAAGCATGCCTGAATTGTCTTGGAAGGTTATGTTGGTTACCTTTTTGGTGTTCAACCCACAGCCTGTTGGGATCCAACTTTATTCCCCCCCTTCCCAAGCATCAGACTTCAAGCAGAGGCAGTGAGTCCGCAAACAGCCAGCAGATCCAAACATGCCTGGAATAAACACAGAACCACACTGAGACAAAAAGTCCAAAAAACCTGCACACTAGTGATTACATGCATATCAGTCTTTATCTGCAGACAAGAAGATTTCCCTAGTGTAAAACCTACAGTGGCTGTCACTATTCCATGGTTTCGATATTTTTGAAAGTTCACCATCCAACCTACAAACATTTTTTGCTATCTTTAAATGCTAACACAAACTAACCAAGCAGCCTCTGTATGTCTACAGAACCATCCCGCCCAACATTCCAGCCATACATGATGCAACAGTCAGATGTAAACGTTCACTTTGCCTTTTTTCCTCCAATAAATTTCTGGTTCTCCTAGTTCTATAATCACCAGCAGATCCTCCAGATCTTCTCCTTCTTAGCTTGGGCCAGGAACTGTCTGGTCTCATCAGGAGTTGCAGGATAATGACTAAACCTGGGCATACACTAATAGATTTTTTTTTTAGCCTATGGATTGAATGAAGAAACTGAACAGATTCTTCCATTTATACTAAACAGTGCAGATAGACAATTGTTCTGCTGCAGCTGGTATTGCGCCCACTGTCAGAATTTGTATTCTTTATTTTATTTATTACAGGTACTTATAAAGCCGACAATTTACACAGCGATTTACATACAGTATGTATTGTACATTCACACCAGCCCCTGCCCTCAAGGAGGTTACAATCTAAAGCAGCCTATGGAATATGCACTTTGCTTTCCTTCCACCTTTGGTGTTCCAACATGACTGCGCACCAGTGCACAAAGCAAGGTCCATAAAGACATGGATGAGTGAGTTTGGGGTGGAGGAACTTGACTGGCCTGCACAGAGTCCTGACCTCAACCCCTATAGAACACCTTTGGGATGAATTAGAGCGGAGACTGCAAGCCCGGCCTCCTCCCCCGACATCAGTGCCTGACCTCACAAATGTACTTCTGGAAGAATGGTCAAACCTTCCCATAGACACCCTCCTAAACCTTGTGGACAGCCTTCCCAGAGAGTTGAAGCTGTTATAGCTGCAAAGGGCGGGGCCAACTCAATATTAAACCCTACGGACTAAGACTGGGATGCCATTAAATTTCATGTGCGTGTAAAGGCCGGCCGATCAATACTTTTGGCAATATAGTGTATGTGGTATCTCTACAATTGTCAGGAGCAGGATCATTTATTTTGGATTGTTCTTTGGTGGTACACTACGGTAATAGCAAGCAATTAAAAATTATTTTTTTTTTATTATTTTGGGCCAGTTTTTCTTTGATAAAAAAAAATCAGGAGATATCTCTTACCATTTATCACCAAAAGAATGCCCAATTTGTCCTCCAAAAAACAAGGTATAATCCACCTGGATCCACAAAGTAATTGCAATGATATCTACAGTTTTACTAACTCATGTCAAAGTTGCAAAATTGTAGTTAGGCATTAACATTTGTTTTACGCTCAGTCACATAGGGGTTAAGATTAACACCCCAGTCACACCGGGTGTGACTTACCATGCCATGCGACTTGCAAGTAGCACCCTATTGTCCGCACTTAAACCGGTCATATTGGTGTGATTCCGATTTTGTTGGAGCCACACTGATTTCTAAAGTAGTTCATGCACTACTTCAGGTGCGACTTGCATAGACATCTGTGTCTTGCAAGCCGCAGATGTCTTGCAAGTGGCACCTCAAGTCAGAATGACGTCCGACTTTGAAATTGTGAGACTTCACTGGAAGTCGCATGATTTCAAAGTCGGATCGGTGTGACCAGGCTGTTAACTGCGCTCACAAGACTTCATATCAGTAAATGACCTACTGTGAAATAATACTGTGAAATAAACTGGCGGCTTATTTGCCTTTATTTAGACCAACAATATTAGAATTGTGTTAGCAGCAAAACAGGTTCAACTTGATGGCCAACCAGATTCCTGTTCTGCTGGATGTCTTAGGCTCCTTTCACACCTATGCAGTTTGCTTTTTGTCTGTTTTGCAGTTCATTTTGCGTTTTTCTACACGTGTTTTTACCATGTTTTGCGTTTTGTTTAGCCTAAATGCTCATTGCCCAGTGCAGTCCCAACACTTAGACAATGCAGTTTGCCTTATGTTCTATCGCTTCAGTTCACACCAATGTGCTGCAGAAAATAAAAAAAAAAGGATGTTGCATTTTTTTGTGCAGCATGTTGGGACAGGCTGTGATGCCATGCAAATCTGCTGCACACAGAATTAGAGGTGAACAAAAAGCAAGGTGACATGGTGTTAAATTGCGTGCACACCGCCCTAGGGATTGCGTGGACACCGGATCAGGGATTGGGTGGACACCGCCCTGGGGATTGCGTTCGCACCGGCTCGGGGATTGGGTGGACACCGGCCCAGGGATTGCCTGGACACCGGCCCGGGGATTGCGTGCGCACCGGGCTGGGGATTGCGTGGGCAGCGGCTCGGGGATTGGGTGGACACCGGCCCGGGGATTGTGTGGGCACCGGCTCAGGGATTGGGTGGACACCGACCCGGGGTTTGCGTGCGCACCGGGCTGGGGATTGCGTGGGCAGCGGCTCGGTGATTGGGTGGGCACTGGCTCGGGGATTGCGTGGACACCGGCTCAGGGACTGGGTGGACACCGGCCCGGGGATTGCGTGCGCACCGGCCCGGGGATTGCGTGCGCACCGGCCTGGGGATTGCGTGGGCACCGGCTCGGGGATTGGGTGGACA